TCTTCTTCCGTGATTGGTCATGAGAGGAGGGGGTCGGAGGAAGGACCAGTTCTTCTGAAATATCTAACCGATGCTCTACGTCTTCGTTTTTTTCCCACCCGTTCACAGCTCCTAATTTGCATTACTTCAAGTTGTGTGCCTCGGTTTTTTGCTCTTTATTTACCCATTTAAATAAGCTGATGACGTAAATGCCATTTTTGAACTTTTCCGTCCAGAAGGGGCTACCTATCCATTTCGTTTGCCCCACCTATAAAACCCCTATATTGCCACAGTTCGCGTATTACAACAGTCATTGCCTCTCGTTGTCTGATTGGACCCACGTATCTGATCGTCGCCGACATTTGGCCCCCTATTTTTAAGAATGGTCATTCTTCGAGCAATGGCCGACAAACAAGACGCGGGATTAAAAGAGCCGCTGGTTGTTGCTTTGTTACAAGACCTGATTTTGTTGAACTGGATTGTTTAAGAACATTGTGCGCACCGGGCGTAGTCTAGTAGAACCGAAGACTACACCCAGTCCAAAAAGACTGGCTGCGCAGTAATTGCCTTGAACCAAAACTGAGGTCATACCGGCTGCGCAGAGCACTTTAACTGCGACTCCCAAAAATAGCCCGTAGTTTGCCATATTGCGTGTACCACATATGGCGCACGTCGCAGTCAAAGTGCTAAGTATTGTTATACGAGCGTTTGTGACACAGTGTAGACGGAAGCTTCAGTTCAACGTCCACGACTGCACCTAATTTCGGCCCAAGCTGATTGTCAGGCTTCGGCAATCAACTGGCTTTTTGAGATTCGAACTCCGACTTGAACATGGTTTGTCACATTTAATGATAGGCGTTAGATCGTGTACCACTCGCGTAGTCGGCCACTGCCTCCGCGTCCACCCGTTGTCGTTTCGACTTTGTATTTCCGCCAGAAAATGGTGTGTAATTGTTTAACCACAACCAACTTCTTGCGCTATTCATGGCTGCGCCCGCCTCGTGATGACAGTGATGTACTTCGTCTTTCATAATGGCTAAAACAACCATTTATACCACATCCGTAATTCCTAATAAGGTTGCTGTTTGAGTTCTTACAAGATAGCAAAAAGGCCTCTTCTTATTTCGTCCTAGATGTGTCATGTGTTTAGACCCCATTTCATAAACTCCAGACACCAGATTTGCGTGTCTTCCCTTTGCACCGAAATTCTTGTCAATATCAATGCAGTGGACACGATTGACGTACCTATACGTGGCAGTTCATTCACCTCCTCTTTTGACTTAGAGTCCCGGCTAGGGTGTTTGCCTATTGTTTACTACACTCTCGTCGGTGTCATCCCCTCACTCGTTTTCGAGTCTATGTACCTACGTTTCGCTTTCTGGAGTCTATAACGTTTTCATAGACTCCCCTCCTGACACATTTATTCATATGTAGAATTGAGTAAGAAAGAGCTTGTGTGTTATGACAGCAACCAAGGTCTTGCTAACAGTAACCCGACTATTCAGTCCCTTTTGTTGCCAATCAGTTATGTCGTAAATCATAGGGCCTTCCAGTTTTTTCGATTCCTTTCCGGGTCTGTACACGCATCGTGTTTGCCTACAGTCTGTCGCTGATTTCATTCTTTTAGAGCATTCTTAAAGCGGCCGAAATTGCTGGATAGGGCAGGGTTACAAGTGGCCCTTTCTCCGTCTTGCGCAAATTCCTAGGCAGCTTAACGATCGGTTTGAATTAGGAGGGTTAGGTTTCAGGACGAAGTTAGGACGCGAAAACAAATTTAGCGCAGAACCACCCCAGTGCGGAAAAGACCTACCAAACACTGAAGTCTGGACTATCACACAACCAGCGATGAACCTCCACGGGACACTAACTGCAGTTACGGTCTAGTAGCGTGACCTAACGGTCGCTCTTAGACAGTTCCGCTTTTCTCTGAAAAAAAAATACAACCTCGCCTTTCCTAACTGATGGCGTCCAGTCTTGGGCAACGTTCTTAATTGTTATTGGTTAATCCAAAGCGGACGTTTGCCTTGCGCGTCAACTTCGTCTCGCTGCCGGCAATGTCGATTGCGAACCGTAAGTAGCATCCACACGCGGGTGGTTTTGGGTCCTGCGCCAGCATTCGTTAAGCAGAATTGCCAACGAAAATTTTTGCCTTCCTCTCTTAAGGTCACACCTCTTTTTTTTCTGCTACGCCTCATTTTTTCGCATTTCATGCGCACGCCGTGGACCTTAACGTTTATCCTACCTTCCTTGCGCTACCCAGCCAACCGTACCGCTTATCTTTTTAAAGTTTCCTATTTCTGGACCAATTTTCATTTGTTGTTCGTCGGCATGATTTTATTTCAATACACAACACTTTTTACTAGCTTTCTGAATTTCACCCATGAGTAATACTGCTAACATTATGCTTCAAGAAATGTGAACAAGTATGCCCTTTTTTATAACTGCGTCCATACTGGTGCGTTATATTGAAAATGCTGCGATCGCTTGATCCGTAGGGAAATAAAGCACTTGTCCGGATGGTCTCTAGTCAGATCAACCCTTCATGCAGCATAATGCAGGCAAAAATAGTCCTTTCTAAACGTTTCAGGACAAAATTTGCTGTTTCAGAGAACCGCGCCTTACTAAAATGTTCTCCATAAACCAAAATGATGTGTTCTTTCATCTACCGCATTTAAACCCCCTAAAATGTTTGAGCAAGTTAAATGATGTATTGAGCAGAAGATTCCATCAGTGTAAAATGGTTTATTTGTCTCATGCTCGTGTCCATTGTGTGCATTGAGTTTTTCCCGCCATGTCATTGGTTGGCCCTGTGTTCTTGCGTAGGTAGCCAGCTGTCTTTGATGATAATTGGGAGGGGGTAAAGGGGCTGTCAGCCTTCTGTTGTCTACAAAAGCGAACTGAACTGCTTACTGACGGGAGTCTTCATGTCACGAAATCCGTGTGCTAAGAAAGAATCGCCTACTTGATTAATTGTGTCTTACCTCTGTAAGAACAATATTCTGAGCACAGTTTGCGGGTGTGCCATTCTGCAGCCTATCACCGCCGAGAATTACTGCATTTCCTTTTCTAACTTACAAGGCGTCGTGCCTGTTTTAGGCTTAATGGGTCTCCTGCATTTTCGGAATTTAATGTAACCCTCTTACAGTTGAATTAATGCAGTCCCAGACACCGGAATTATACCTTATGTTCAACGATTATGGCATTTGTTAAGGCAGCTTACGAGAAGGCTCCAAATGGTGGGATACCTCGGTCCTCAAGATGGAGAGTCCGACTGTATGGAAGGCCTTCTTTATATGGACCCTGTGACACTTTCACTCAGTTGTGATCCGGGTCGTCTCTTGTTCGTGTGAAATCCTGGTCCATCCTGCGCGGACCAGGTGTGGGGCACGCGTGGCAGACGAGTTGTTCTACCCTGTCAGCCACAGCGCCCGATGCCGCTTACGGTCTTCTTGGCTGTGTCTTGATACCGGCGCAGTGGGATGAAAGTGGAGAGAGTGCGGTTGATGCCTTGCATGTCTGCTTTCGAGATAGACTACGTTACGCGCAAGTTACCGTCCCTGCGTCCAGCCTGCTATCTGGCACGCGATAGACGCCGTAGTTCACTGGTGGTTTACCGCAGCACCAACCGAACGCTCCCACCGGCCAAACGTCGCTTGTCTTACAGGTTATTGGGACAGCTATTGCCATTCATGTAGTAAGCGGAACGCGGCACGCGCAAAATTGGGAGTCTATGCTTCAAACTAGGAACCACTCCTGTTCCGGAGATCCTGTACTAATTTGGACGGATTATGATTCGATAACGATTACCTTTCATTGCATTTTGCTCAAGGTCGTCTGTATTTCTGGGCGGGAGGTGTTTTTTCGGAGTTTTATCGGAATCTCTCATATGAAGCTATTTATTTCCAATGGCAGTTGTCTGTTTTAGACAGTCTTTTATTCCTTATGATTTCCCAGACAATTTTAAGTGGTTAGCGTTACTGATCGACTAGAATTAATACAGCGAACACTTATTTATGAACTTCTTTTGGTAATTGCGTGTCTTTACGAATGCAATGTTACCATCTGGGCTCTTCGTACTGAAATGTAGTGGACAACTTTATGGTGCCTAGGCTTACTTCGGATTCTCATCCAGGAAATCGACTTCTGAGAACTGGTCAGTACATACATACCGAAGGCCTTATGCGACAGCTCTACCCTTTTCTTACATTGCCTATAGTCGGCGAACTCAGCCAAACCGCCTTCGTTAGAATTTAATCCTGTTTTGAAAGTGATTCAGCGCTTACTGTTTTCTTATCGCCAACTGTACTGTCTTGTTACTAGGAGCATTTTCAAGTTCTAACTGGACCCTCGCTTTCGCCATCGACGCCCAACGCGGAATCCACCTCTTCGTCGAGGGCTGAGGAAGCCATTTCGCGAATGAAGTCAATTTTCATTGGCGGTAGTCAACAAAACTGTGATTCCCGGTCAATGGATCATGAAGCGTCAGGTGGTAGTGTTGCTGCCAATGGCGGTCACAGAAATCGACGGACCCTGAAGTCCACCGCGGCTGCGTCGGCCTCTAAATCTGCCGGAAGGACGAGCAGCAATCAACGCGATCGACACCCTATTCGTCGTTGGTCCTCCTTCGTCCCCGGCTTCCTGAAACTGGATCTTGTCTACTGCCGATCAAGTCCGTCAAACGGTGTTTCGTCGTCTGGCGTTGACAGCAACATGGCGCAATCCTCCAGGTCGACTGCCACCGCGTCTCCAGACTCCGCTGCAGAGGCACTTGTCAAGGGCACCGCCTGGGAGACTCCCCCCTCATCCATCCCGCTGCATGTCAATGCTCTGGTCACTGTACAGGTTTGTCATCACTTTTCCTAGGTGTGCGCTTTGCTCAACGCACGGCAATCGTATTCCTGTTTCATTTCATTTTTTGCAATGCAACCCACTGCCATCACCCT